CAACGAACACCTGGATTTAGTTTTACTAATTCCATTCATCCAAGTAATTTTACGCCGCTTTTTAAGACTATGAAACTTCGTTTATATGTGACGTCTAATACTTACATCATAAACCATTTATTTTTAAGAAAAGTACCTGGTTGCTAAAAGTTTGATAGCGGGTACATATTTTGCTCTCGCCATTTACAAAGCCACTGTCACAGCTAGCATTTTCACATTATTCACAAGTAATTAAAGTTTATGTGCCTTAAAATCTGTATGTCTGTATATTTTGTTCTCTTTCTTGATTGTACTCCTTTTTCGTGATTTCTGGGATCTAGATATCTTAGTCGCTATGATTCTAAGCCCCGAGGTGAAAGTTTGCTGCCTTACTACACGACTGTTTCCCAACTGGTTTTTTCCGTGTCTCCTGAAAATCGTTTTCCAAATTCACAAAATGTGTCATTCACAGCACGCTTAGAGATACAAAATGGTTCTGATCAACCGACTACGGCATATCTTACCACTTCACGATTAAATCAAGCTTACTTTTTACGAAGTCGTAATCTTCTACGCTGCCGGGACCAAAGTAGACGACGTGACATGGTTGTTCGTGGTAGTTTGGCTATCGCCCATTTTTTGGATGAGCTACCAACCACGGAACATCAATTAGAGTCTTTATCTGTAGACGTCGCCTTTCATTCCGTAAGTATATATTATTTCTATCTCGTTTTAGTTACTATTGAGAATAGTGCGATAGATGATTCCTAAAAGTTAGATAATAACAAGTTAATTGTGCACAGTATCACAATAAATCAAATCAATCGATACGTGTGCGACCGTTTTACCTTCTTTCATTAGTTAAGTACTTATATCTTGATAATTTATTTTCTTCACGCCTGTTACCTCTCATCGAGTAGCTTAGGCTACCCAACAGCATTCTCCATCGAACTCTGTCCTGGACAATCCTTTCCTGTCGCTACTCATCCTTTTGATATAGACTTCTGATTCTCGACACAGTGTGTTCTTCGGTCTTCCTCTTTTCTGCTTTCCTTCAGGATTGCTAGATAGTGCTTGCTTCGTGATGCAGTTTGATGACTCCTGCAATATATATCCTATCCACTTCTAAGGTCTTTCCCCAATTTCCTCTTCAAATAGAAGTTGGTTTATTCTCTCTCACAGTAGGTTGTTGCTGATGGTATCCGACCAACGGACATTGAGTATGTTGCGTAGACAATTGTTTGTAATTACTTGTACGTCTTTGACGATGGTTGTGGTAGTTGTGGAAGATGAAGCTCTGAATAGTAGAAATGTCTTGACGTTCGTATTCAAGATTCCGACTTCGATGTTGGCTGATAGTCGTTTTGAGTTCCACATGTTATTCAACTGTATGAATGCTGTCCTTGTTTTGCCGATCGTTTCGTTTACATCTGCATTGGATCCTTCTTGTTTATCGACGATGCTGCTGACCAGTTACATGTAAGTTTCCACCTGTTCCAGGGTTTTCCCATCAAGTGTGATTGGATTGGTGTTCTTCAAGTTGTATTTGAGGATGTTGCTTTTTCCCTTGAGTATGTTGAGACCTAGTGATGCAGAGGCTTCCATTACAGTGGTTGTCTTGACCTTCATTTGTTTGTGTGTATGGGATAGGAGGACTATGTCATCTGTGAAGTCCGACTCGTCTAGTTGCATGCAAGCTGACGATTGTATTCCGTGCTTATTTTGAGATGTGGAGGTCTTCATAATCCAGTCAATCACTAGTAGAATGAAGAAGGGGGAGAGTAGGCAGTCTTTTCTGTCTCTGGTCCTCACTTGTAATAAGTCTGTCAACTGTTCTACCTGCATGACTTTGCAGTGTCGTCTGTCGTATGAATTTCGCATGGTGCTGGCGGTCTTCTCAGGCACACCATCGTGTGGTAGAAGGTTCCGCAAGGTCCTCCTCTCCACACTACCAAACTCCTTAGTTAATGAAGTTGATGTATATTGATGAATGCCATTCATGCGGAATCCAGCCTGTCGATCTTCATTCCCATCATTGATGAGTGCATAACATTGGAGAACATTGATTGTGATTTGATCCTTCTTTGTTTTGAAGGGTGCTTTGATGATCCTGAGTTCATGAGATTCCCATCCTATAAGTGTCTAACATGTTTGTTTGGAGAGCATCAGAGCCACTTCCTGAGTGTGTGGATCATTTTCTTCTTCGTGACCAGAGTACGAAAACATCTCTCCTAAATCTAATATTTTCTGTCCAGTTTGTGTTTAATGGGTTTCACTTATTCCGAGAACCGACGAGTTGTATCTCTTCCTTTCCGTAGCTAGTTGATTGGTTCTCTCATCTACGTAAATTGTCCGAACATTCCATGTTCCTATATAAATTGTTGCTGTGGTTGTTAGAAGGGGCATGGGCTTTGTGACTTCTGATCAATCAAGGCTTTCACCATAAGGCGTTTTATTTCTTTGAAATGAAGATCCTTCAACTCACAGGGCAGTGTTTTAATTAATTTTATTTATTTATTCTGGTCAGCTTTTTTGGCAAGATTGATTTGTACTGAATGGTTTTACTGCAGTAACTCTAGAAAAGTTATATGCGGAATTTTATACCTTGATACTAATTTCTATTCCATATTATTTTTGCATCATTCACAGGGAACTCAAATGTTGTTTACAATGGGTGGTGTTTTTTACGAGGTTTCTTCTATGGGTTCAAGTTCCACCAACTCAAGCTCACACGAAAAATCTGTTCGCAAAGTCCTTCGATGTTTTACTAGAACTATGATACTAATCGCACCAGGTGGTCACATAGTGCAAGATGATTATATTGTGTCTAATCCAACTACCTCTTTGTGTAAGGTAAATGTTGCTTATTTAAATATCGTCGCATTTGTTCTTACGAAGAAATTTCCCATGTTATGCATGTACTTGCAGCACTTTATAAGCCAAACTATGTGAAAACCTTTGGCTCGATGCACGTTTCAATAAATGTATACCAATAAATTACATATTATTAAAATGTTTAAAACCACAATAAGGTATTATAGTGAAATTGCTGATCTGAATCGGTTGCAACTTTAACGCAGTAGTCGATCAGTTACAGACTAATGCGTGATATGTGTTCAGCCCTTCACAACTCACACAATTGTTTACAACCCTTATACTATTTTTATACTATACTCACGCAATTCTGAAAACATACTTATCATCAAACACCTAGGACTGATTTATATTCCATAACTGTAAGTAAACATAAAGCAAACTGATTATCAGATATCCTCTTCAATAGATAGGTTAATCTCATCTGGACCAGAATTTATTCGAATCAATGGAAGTTAAGTGAGCTATTTATAGACGTGCCGAGATTTCGTTAGGCATTAACTTACTAGGGATTCCCAAGGTAAATGATATGGTCAATACTCCGAACTGCTTCACTCACTATAGTTAATTCAGATATGAATCCAGACCAGGTTTTAATAAATTCTTAAGATTCATAAATTCCTCCATAAATAAAGAAAGTCTTAACCCTAGAGATATGTCCATGAAAAAAAAGAAAAAGTCGAGAGACACCAAATGTCTTTCGCTCATATTACTGCTTACAGTAGCCTTTTTCTCAAATAGTAGTTTTTGAATAAAGTGTTTTTCGTAGGCTCACGTACCTAATTATGCCACATTATCTAAATCTATAGAGTCGTCTCTAATTAAATGGAAATGGATTCAGTCGGATTTTGATGAGTAAGAATATGTTTCAGGAATGGTTGTGGAGTTAATATCTGGTCAGTTTACCAATAACGTGATCTGGAACTTGATTGGTCGTTCTAGATTTACTGTTCCCAGTCATTCCTTATCAAGTGAAATGATCATAGGTCAAGAGCAGTCAGATGAAATGACGTTTAACCCCTAAACTCTATATAACATCTCCATCAACCTAACTGAACAACTCAAATTAACCCTCTACGATTTGTTATTTTCTAACTCCTAGTTATACCTTTCTCTGCTGAAAGTTGCTGTCTTACTCCAGTCATTTGGACCATAAGCATTCACAAAGTAGATAAAATCCATTTGAAGAGTTCTTTAAAACGTTCCACTCATCGTCTCACTCACTTAGTCATAACTTGAATCATTGTCCCATCTTTTTCTATAAGAGTTCCACTAGTCTGCAGCTTTTGAACTTTTCTGCTTGATGAAGTTAACTAAATTCATAGTGCTAAATATTGCCGCAGGCAAAATTACAGCAATTGTAAAGAAGCAGGACAGGAACGAATATCGCGTAGTGCTGAATAATTATTAGTATCATTATTCTGCATGTTATAAAACTAGCGTCAGTGATAATAAATTGTTGTTTTATTGTAGCTAGTTTAGTCGAAAATTGGATTATGAAAATTTTGAACACTACTAAGCTGTTTTGAAAATGAATGATCTCGTTCTTTAGTCTTAAATAACCCTATCAGATAAAAATAATAATAATGTCAATTTAAACCTCAAATAATTGCTTCCTAACTTGAAAACTTTATTTTAGAAATACATTACTGAAATGGCTACAAGATGCAAACAGGACAGTCAGGCCTCAAATCAACAGCAAAATGTTCTCAGCTCTGATCTTTCTGCACCTGAAGTAAAAGAAAATATTGTAATTGAATTTAGTCGGCGCACCGGTATGAACATTCCCTTTTCAAGACAGTGTCTAGAAGAGTATGAATGGAATGCTAATGCTGCACTAACTGCTTTCGAAACTATGAATTCAGCTGGCAAAATTCCACCTGAAGCGTTTTCTGTATAATCTTTGAACTAAAATTATAAAATTTCAACTTATGCAATTTATGTATGTTTGTGTGTATCTAGATGCACTCATACATTCTGACGTGTTACGATTCGTCATTAGCTAGGTTACTAGTAGAGCATATCCTATCATGTTTTTTATTTGAGCTGAGTGACTGTCTGTCAAAATGTTAGTCGTTGTTTGACTAAAATAGTTTGTATGTATGTGTGTGTTTTGCTCGTTCTCCAGGCCCAAGAAAAAAATCTGTCGGAAAAATAATCTTTTGCTCTAAATTAATTGAAAAAAATATCACGAGGTTTAAAAAAATATGCTGCTGTAATACAGCGGTCTACCCGGCAGTAATTAAGAATTCTAAAAACTGGGTCACACGGTGAACTAGAGCAATGCTTGTTCTTTTTTGTTGTAGTCAAACATACAATAACTTTTGACGTACTAGTTACTTGGTGAAAATAAAAATATGATGGTTAAATGTTCCAACGTAATCGAACTGTTGACTGATTGCTACACTGTTAGAATATTTAAGTGCATCAGATTACACTTGCGTGCATGATATTTCAAAAATTGAATTTCATAATTTATATTCCTCAAATGTTAGTTAATTTCTATTTGTATCACCATCATTATACACTAACTCTTAACTTATTGGCTTTAATGCTCTAGCTTTTTTGTACAGTTTATGTTTTAAATGTTAAAGAAATCGAAAAAATGTTACATGACTGATATGGCCTTTCATTTATCAATAAGTTTGTCATAGAAAACTAGCAAATAATAAACAATATCATTAATCAAGTTAATCCATAATCACAAAGGAGCGAGTGAAGTATCTCATTGCAGTTAAGGTAATGTCATAACAATCAGTAAGTAAAAACATTTTCGAAGTCACACAAGTAAAAAATCTAAGAAGAGGTAAAGAGAAACAATGAGGCTATACATTTGACTGTTAGTGATCCGACCATTACATTTTTGAGAGATCATTGCGTTATCTTCGATTTTCGTTCTCCATATTATTGCATTATTGTGCTACATCACTATCGCAAACATTTGCACTCGATATATTTACGTTATTGTCAGATTTTATATCTGTCGTTTCTACTGAGGTAGTTACTGTATTAATTTCCGTTGATAAATCTGCAACTCCTTCAGTATTAAGGCTAATCGTTGGTGTTGTACAGTCCTCAAATGAATGTGGCTGGTAATTTCTTTCCAAGTCTCTAAGTGACGGAAGAGAGTGACTTCGATGCATTCCATGCGTATTTAATTCAGATATATTTGTGTAGCAATCACTTTGAGAAAGCTCACTGTCATCGATACCTAAAGTTAAAAAGGATCTAGCTCGCTCATGAATTTGTACGTCGAAAATTCCGCTAGCAAAGTCGAGCTCAAAATATGGGGAATCTTCAGTGGGATCGTTTGTTTGAATCGGCTCATCAGTACCAACTTGATTGTCCTCGCTAATGTTCATTCCACTCACTGGAATTTTATCATTGTTTGTGGAACACCTAGGCTTGTTTTTCTGTAATGAGAATAATAAAGTATTTTAGATTGATAGTGGTCTATCTCTACAAACAGTATATACGTCGGAAGATAATATATTTCATAAACATGTTTATATAGAATATGATTGAAAATTGCTACACTTAGTAGTCGACTAACTGGACATATATATGAACTTGGTCGAACACTCCTCTGAGTTTACATTTCTATTCATGGTCTTTCTTGACTTTTTACTCAAGCACTGTTTATTTTTGTGAAGGTGGTTAAGGAAAGGAAGCTGTTATCAATGGCATTTAGTATAAAAATATGGTACTTAACCTCTATGTGATGCAGATTATTTTGGGTGCCCAGTCGTTCTAAACTTAGGATAGTGATCCTAAACTATTACATGAATGATGATTAAACCGTACTGTCACTGTGACAATTAAGAAAGATTTGTCCATAATAGTGCAGTCTGTAAAAAGGTTAACCGAATGCCATTTAAACTGAGATACCATCTTACAAATAATTAAGCATAAATCCCACTGTCAGCTATATGTAGCGTTGAATGTAAACTGAATATTTGTGATAGTGTTGAGGATATCTTATGCAGTACAAGTATGTTCAGTCCTGTCACATAAGTTCACAAAAAGTTAGCTAAGAAATGATTTACCCAGATTAGATTATCAGGGTCACAGCCTACATCAACAGATTTTAGTGTTCAAATTCATTACAGATTTATGAATGCTAATTAAAGTAAGATGTTAACTGACTGGTATTTATGTTTAGTTGTTTAGAATAACGATTATAAATGTTTCCGTTCAGTTTTTCATCACTTGCAATACAAACTAAATGTTCATTTGTTTTACTACCTGATATGTGTTCGATTTACTGTGATGATTTTTATCACCTTCCCAAGAAATATTTCAGGATGTTGAAATTGCATTCAATAATGATAGGTTAAAATTTTACAGTTACATCCACCAAGAGACGTAACTTCCCTTGTAAGATCTAGTCATGGCTAGACGTTACCTCTTACTTTGAATTGATTTAATTACTGTTACTAGTAGACACATCCTTTGTATCAATTTAAAAACCGACTGGCAAAATGACTACATAGAATTACCGCACTTTTTAAACGATCACTTTGCAGAATAAATACTATACTGTATGAAAAGAGATGTTTCCACGCAAAACCAGTCTGGATAACTATAATTTTTCGTTAATCAGTTTATGGTGTATTTCGGAACAACACTGGAATTTTTTTCTTATGGATAGAATCTACATGATTATAACCTAAATTTTGACAAACATGAATCCAGCAACAATTACTTTCAAATTTACGACTCTATTACCATGAAAGATAAAGTGGGATTCGAACTAACAAAATCATGATTGAAAGTGAAGTGTCTAGATCAATGAAGATACAACAAATGTCTATAAGTTAGAAAAATATATTGGGTAGTTTGTTATGTGAATACTCACCTCGTCAGTTTGATATTGCTTAGTATTGTAGCCGCTACTGTATGAACCTCGTATTTTATTATTTGAACGAACTGGCTCTTTCCTAGATGAATTATATGATTGTGTGTAATGAGCATTCGAATAATTCTTTTGAGGTTGTTTATGATGAGGTGGATAATAACGATTATTGGGAGGATTGTAGTAATGATGATTTGGTCGGTGTTGATGTTGATAATGATGATGTAGAGAGCGTGGTTTCTGAAATTCATTAATAAAAGAACGACAATTAAAAGGAATCTTTTTTAATTTATCATATTTTTTTGATGAATCAGAAACTAATAACAATAAATCATCTGATTGCCATTTAGATAATGGTACAGATAATATTGGGTCAGGTAGAATAGGCCGATCTACAATGAAATTCTGTGCATATCATATACAATTTGTGTATAAGTTATCATGATTAAAGTAGAAAGAGATTGATAAAAAAAAAAAGAAATCGAAGAAGGAGAGATGTCAGTAATGTGTTATGAAATAAACCATAATTAAATCATATAATCCACAAACAGGAAAATATTTTTAAAAAATTGATAAGCGCACATAAATGAGCACGGAATCATTATTACACAGAGTAGTAATCATCCATTACAGAACAAATGCAACAACGAATAATAGCATAGATTCATTCATATTGTGTATCGGATACAAGCAGAGTAATCAAATATGCATAGATTATATTGCGTTTATGCATAAGATTAGAAATATATTACCCATTATATATGTATATACATATATAGAAATGGAGTCCAAAACGATGAATATGAATGAACATCGGCACAAGGATTTGTTAAAAGAAAGGGAAAAAAGACAAGTTTTTTATTCAGTAAATGAAATTACGTGTGCCTTGAGATCAGTGAAATGAACCAAACTCAGTTGTTATAAATATAGATTAAACTATTTAGATTTATTTTTCATGTGATGTTTTGTTTTAGCTTTATAGAAATATAATAGATGAACTTCTCTGGCTACACTATAATTTTTAGTAAACTTACACAAACTGGATTCAGAAATGCATAAGTTCAAACTCTTTTAGTTTGAAATACACAATCATTATTCGAGGTATTTTCGAGAACTATTTTACGAACAGCTTAAACTTCCCATGTTCCGCGATGCTAGTCATGAACATTATGAATTAAATATCACTGAATAGTCCATGATAGTGTACTTTGATATTCCTTGCTATTTACTTCTTTATATTGATTATATTCGTATTTACAACAAGGAAATTACTGTCAAGCATCACTTAATAGCTCATAAAGAATTAAGGTTGATTTTCAAAGTGGGATAAAATAAATCACTAGATCATGCCTCTATAGCAAACTAGTTAGACATGGAGAAATTATATTCAGAGGTCATTTGAAGTAATAGTAATTTTGAGCGCTTCTTTAAGTTGGGGTAATGGAACCATAAGAAAGTTACGCGATCTTGATTACTTGAAAGATAGGAAAGGTTTAGTATTTTGATATCAGAAAAATGACGGATTGTTGATGAAAATTAAAATTATTCATGATGAATTTCCTTCATCTCTAGGTGACTAGTTTTCATATACTTAAAACAACAAGTAATATTTTTTGAGTATCTGGATCCTGAGTATAATATAGTCGAATGATGTACATGATATATATTACGTCCCTTAAATGTATGGTATTATATAAGTTTTAGTCAAATGAACGCCTATTGTTATATACTGATACCGTTCAGAATGTTGAAATAGATTAAATAGGAGTTAAATTACTCAAAAACATCGAATACTTAATCTCTATTCGGTAATAATCAATTAAAATTCCATATTAATTAAAATGTTGTTGCTATGCTCTGAATAAAGACGAAACAGGTGTTCAACGCTTGTTTATTTTCGATCGTTCCGGAGCTGTGTCAGTATTTAACAAAAAGCATTTTCAACTTTATCGAGAAATCCCCTAATAAACAATTTGATTGATTATAAAATCTATGAATACATTTCAAGTGTTGAATATAATACAAATATAATATTTACAGATAACCATTTTGAAAGGTTAACAAAGAATACATAAATAAACTAGAGATATCATGTAAGATGAGATGCCGAATGATTCTTTACTGGTTTCATTTTTTATTTATTAAAAAAGGTATAATAGGAAATGAGTAAAATAGCTTATTCTGTATAAAATTATATAGTACAATTATCTGCTATTTACCCGTAATCAGAACGAGGCAATCGTTGTAAAACTTTTAGATAAAATTGTAAATCCCTTAGAGAAAATATTTAGTTAACGAACGGTTAAATGAACAATTTATCAAACGATGTGAATAAGTTAATTAAAATTAATGTGTCTTTGTTTCCAAGAGAAACTAAAGATTCTTTGATAATCTAATAATTTGACACTCTAAATAATAAAACGTAAAAATTAAACATATGAGAAAATTAAATTAGGAAAGGATGCTAAAATCACTAATAAGTCAAACATTTGGCCATATCTCATTGGTTTTCAGGTTTAGAAACGACATTATAGACTATTTGGGTCAATATTTGGTCTAAATTATTCCAAACATTTAATTCATTTTAAAGAAACCACACCAGAACGTTCTCTTCCATAAATATTGAGAGTAATCCATGAATGGAAACAAAATGTCTTACACCATGGGAGCAAGGAAGTCAGCAAAAAATGAAACTATCCTCATAAGAAAATTTATCTTTCAGATGTATAGGGTTGACAACATTTCCACGTTAAATGGTTAAAGGTACTCGGCAACACTAATCAACAAGATACATCTGCAATTTTATAGGAAATGACATTTCTTTGTGGAATACCAACCGGTGTTATACAAAACGTTGACCATATGTATTAAATGTGAAGTGATCAAGCCTCAACCGACTGAGTATTTTTGAAAAGAAATCTGTTAAATATGAAGTAATTTACAGGTTAACAATCATTTGTCTAAATTGTTTCTATGAATTTTGGTGATCTATTTAACTGAGATAACAACAACTCCCCTATTACTTTAGAATATATCACCTAAAAATAGTTCATTTTCTGAGTAGCTGAGAAAAATATTCTAAAAGTGACCCTGTGTATCATCTTCAACTAAAACCCGACATGGTAATGTCTCGTATAAGACTTGATTTTTCTCCGCTTATCAGTTACTATAAAGTAAGCATTAAAATATTGGTTGGTTCTTGATTTTGATCGAGTTCTATGGATCAATTTCATAACATGAAAGGTAGGTTACATAATTCGATATAGTGATGAACTTTTTTCGAATTAAACTACTCGAAACTCAAAATCTAAGTTTCATGTCTCATGAAACTTATTAGTAAACTTGATTTAGTAAATTGAGGAAAATCATATTCATAAAAATGTAAACCTAGACTTTTGTATTTAGATTCTTGTATTTTAACTATTTTAAGTTGAATTCGTTTGATCATATTACAATAAAATAAAAAGTAGACATATTATCCTGAAGAGGCTTTGCTAATTTTGTTATGATGTTGTTCAATTCATAACTAATCGATTGATAAGAGTGATGTTTTAACTTAAGTAATCTCTGAAGGGTTTTGTGGAGATTTTTTAGAAATTTTCACAGATTGAAATCATGAGTCAGTTGAAGGTAGACCACCATTGAAAGCCTGGAAGCACTGGACGGCCGTTTCGTCCTAGTATGGGACTCCTCAGCAGTGCGCATCCACGATCCCGCACCACGCGGGGCTCGAACCCAGGACCTACTGGCTTCGCACCCGAGCACTTAACCATCAGACCACTGAGCCGGCATCCAACGGTGTTAATGTCTAACTTCAACCAATCCACGAAGTTGCACCACCATATAACATTGTCTTCAGTGAGCTGATATCTCACAACAGACCTGGTTGAACTCCACTGGTAACGGCTTCCCACTAGAACTCCAGGAGTATCTCTTGAAGTCAGTCACTAGTGAGCAGATGATTATTATCAGAAGGGGTTTGTGGAGATTTCTGTCAATGACCTAGGTACTTTATTGATATTATGAAAATAAAACTGTAAATAGTTGTAACTTTGTATTCATCTTGTATTTTTGTAAATAAAATCATGAATAACATCATTGTACTCTTAATCAGATGGTTACTCATTTTTATAAATACTTTGTGATGTCAAAGAAAATCGGTTACTCATAGTTTTAAAAAACACATGACTAAGACAATTTATGGAAATATGATCAAATATAGTGTGGCTGAAAATTTCATAACTACAATCTTTGATAGATGAAATTAGTCACTTAGTAAAGTAGTTCATTCCAAAAATTTATAAATTGACATGTTTATAGTGGTGAATAAATGTTTTTAAAATGAACTTGAACATGTCAATTTATAGTGGTATAGAGATTAAAAATTATAAATGTATCATTAACTTACATCCATATTGATTTCTAATTTGTACTTTGCAATATCTTCTGGTGTTAAATCATCAATATATTCATCACCAGAATGATGACGAATTTTAGAATCTCCTGAGAAAAGAAAAGCAAAAAACGAAAAATAAGAAAATTGTGACATAAGTCAGTGGAATTATTTATTGATTAAATTATGGTTTAATAGTTTATGTACTAAATTTCATTACATGTATCTTCTTCTGAAATCACAAAGCTGATGTCCCTTCTAACAACCACAGCAACAATTTATATAGGAACATGGAATGTTCGGACAATTTACGTAAATGAGAGAACCAATCAACTAGCTACAGAAAGGAAGAGAAGACCGTCAGCACCATGCGAAATTCCTACGACAGACGACACTGCAAAGTCATGCATGTAGAACAGCTGACAGACATACTCTGATTGAGGACTGGTGTCAGACAAGACTGCCTACTCTCACCCTTCTTAATCCTACTAGTGATTGACTGGATTATGAAGACCTCCACATCTCAAAATAAGCACGGAATACAATCGTCAGCTTGCATGCAACTAGACGAGTCGGACTTCACAGATGACATAGTCCTCCTATCCCATACACACAAACAAATGAAGGTCAAGACAACCACTGTAATGGAAGCCTCTGCATCACTAGGTCTCAACATACTCAAGGGAAAAAGCAACATCCTCAAATACAACTCGAAGAACACCAATCCAATCACACTTGATGGAGAAACTCTGGAACAGGTGGAAACTTACATGTAACTGGTCAGCAGCATCGTCGATGAACAAGAAGGATTCGGTGCAGATGTAAACGAAACGATTGGCAAAACAAGGACAGCATTCATACAGTTGAATAACACGTGGAACTCAAAACGACTATCAGCCAACATCGAAGTCGGAATCTTGAATACGAACGTCAAGACAGTTCTACTATTCAGAGCTTCATCTTCCACAACTACCACAACCATCGTCAAAGACGTACAAGTAATTACAAACAATTGTCTACGCAACATACTCAATGTCCGTTGGTCGGATACCATCAGCAACAACCTACTGTGGGAGAGAATAAATCAACTTCTATCTGAAGAGGAAATTGGGGAAAGACCTTAGAAGTGGATAGGATATATATTGCAGGAGTCATCAAACTGCATCACGAAGCAAGCACTATCTAGCAATCCTGAAGGAAAGCAGAAAAGAGGGAGACCGAAGAACACACTGTGTCGAGAATCAGAAGTCTATATCAAAAGGATGAGTAGCGACAGGAAAGGATTGTCCAGGACAGATGCTATAAATGTGAGACGGCAGCAGATTAGAGGGTAGAGGATTTATCGATCGGACCAAAGACGCGAAAACACGTAGAACGGCCTAAGGTTCATATTGGTCCCGCTTCCCTATCTAGCCCAGCCAGTTGAGTCCAGAACACTAGTCTCAGCCTCGGAGATATGAACCATATTTCAAACACACTCTGTTTATATACTAATCAAGCAGACCACATCGTACGATAAAATAGAAAATAACATTGCACAATATTTACCAGTAGGAAAATGACACGTGAAATAAGTACTGACCAATAAGAAAATAATACCAAGTTCAAGAATAGCATTAAACTTAATAGAATAATTTTTGGGATATTTTCCTGAATATCCCAACAACAGAGTTTTATGGAGAATGCTGTTAGGCAGCCTATTCTACTCGACGAGGGGTAACAGGTGTAAGTAAGTAAGTAAGTAAGTAAGTAAGTAGTTAAGTCTACTGTGTTTTCGTGTTAAATTCATTACTATACTAGTTCGAGAAAATGAGTGATATAACTATACAATATAGATGGATTATGGATAGCAATAAGATCCACGATGAGAGTTTTGCTCACTTATGATCTCGTTATTCACCTGAACCACAGTGTTAATGTTCACGCTGATATTTAATCTATACAAAATGAGTTAGTGAAATGAATTATTTCATAAAAAGTGTATTATTATTTACATGACTGCATAGAAAGGAAACACAAACACTTGACAAAGTGAATATCAGTACATTATCCATAGTTGCATATTTTCAATTAATTGGAAAGCTAAATGATCGGATTAAGACAAAATATATCATAGATATGGGAATCCGAATGCAACAAACAATACAAATTATCGCGTTAGACTTATGTTCCACTTTTACTGTAAAAAAAAAATAACAACCAGTAATTTCAAACTTAACCAGATATAACCTTAGTTAACGGTTGATAAGTGGTAACTAATTTTTTTACTCACCAATCAATAAAACAATTTTTGTTTTGACAGCATGACTAGATTCAAGTACTAAAAGCTCAATAAATCATTATGGTAGATTTTGATAATAAAAAAGGTCATTAATTTAAAAAAAAGGCCATATACAAATTCACTATATTCGTATCTGTAGTAAGAAGATATACAACATATTAATGATTTATAAAAGTCTCATTTTATGAAAGTGCTTATAAACCATATTCTAAAAACAACATTATACTGATTGTATAATAAAAATTTAAATATTGATTCATAAATGAACTATTTGAGTGAAACAATGAAAATTGAACATATGATAATGATACATTGAGTACATATTTTTCATCAATTACTTATGAATGGTATAGTTTATTGTCATTGTAATAAACAATATATAACTGTCAGTAATGAGTAACAGTTGAAGTGAAAACAAGAGTGTAAGTAACTTGGTTGCAAATAAGACCAATCATTCTAAAGAGATATATTCTAAAGAAAATTATTTACTAAAATAAATTATTATTCAAAACTACCGTTAGAAAACAATGGTAAATCGAAATTCTTAGTTATCAATGGAATATTGGTTAAACAATCATAAGAGGTAGAAACTTAGTTACGTAGTGAACAAGAACATAAGTGGGGACAATCGCATATATATATGAATACAAAATTACAGAATATCTTAATAAAATTTGAGAACCACACAGCAAATATTTTATTTGCAAAATATCAATCGATCGTCTCAGACTTCATTTCCACACTAATCATTCCTTATTTTTAACCTTCTACCTCCGATCATTTCACATTCGATTGATGATACCTACTACTTATATCTGTCGACATCAGTAACACATGCCACAGTTATTCCTGATTTTAAATAAATAACAGCTTTTTCATCATCAACTGTGTTTACTCAATAAATCTAACCTGATCCAACTTTTGTAATACAGGTTTAATAAATGGCCTAAAGTCAAAATCAATCCTTAAATCATACAAATCGTACTGTTGTTTAAGTTACATTCTAAGGTTCTATTATACGCAACAGTGAAACTATTGCAATACGTAATAATGTATATTTTTGTGAATTTATGTGTATCCACCCAACTTTTCCATAATGATATTACAAAAAATATAAATCACGAAAACTACAAACAAAGCTTCCTAAGGAATTCTCTTTTTGAAACGGCTGAATATATATTAACAAAGGTTACTTCAAAATCCTTACCTAATAAATTTGTTACAGAGTTTTAAAACAAATCGTCTTTGTAATTAAAAAACTGAAATGAAAGTGATGTGTTTCTGTCAGTAAAGCGGTAATATACTCTCATTCGAATGCGACACATTTTCTAAATATTTTTAGAGCAGAAATATTGGTCTGTCACTCAATATATTCGAACTACTTTAAAACCATCCTACCTAATAAAAATCACATTTTTTCACACCGGTTAAACTCTTTTTAAACTGTAACTAAAGCAAACTGTCGAAACTTCCCACTTCTATGAAAGGCTCTAACTGAACATGTGTACAGAATTTCACGTTACTTAATGAATTAACCAACATACGTCAATGGCTGATAACCAATACTACTAGTTATATTTATGTATGTCTCTTTTATAATACATATGCAAAACAAATTCGCTAGTTTCGCGAATAGTCATAAATCATTAGGATGATTTTTATGCTACACATAAGAATGTACAGGAAGTTAGAAATCAGAAAAATAGAAAGTCCACTTTTCCACAAGGTTTTGTGTGTACATTAGCTTGGCACTGTTTCGATAAGTGATTCCTTTTTACCTGAAATGACAAAATACCATTTAACTGTCCATTAAACTACAAAACGAGCATCATAAAAATTTAGTATGTGAAACAAATAAAAACTGCAATGTTGACGTTATTTCAGAAGATAACTTCAGTCAATAAAGGACGAATTTAAAATTTATGAATGAATTCCAATTATCACTCATCCCAATAATTAATTAGTCAGTTAATCATAGTCATTGTAAGTTCTGCTTCGATTGGATATCGGCCTAAGCTCCCATGCTTCAGATCAATATATTTAGGAGGAAAATCAACAAAATGAAAAGCTAAGGAGAATACATTTCCGCTATAGCTGATATTATTTAAACATCAGTAATACAGCTAAAATGACTATGAAATAATTACTAGAGCCTATCCCGCCAGATAACTTCATAGGTAACTAAGAAAAACATTAAACAAAAACACGAAGTCCAGAACACAACATTCTATCCCAGGTATTTAGATGGTACCTTTATTATTTGTGATGATATTAATTATAAATAAGAACTTTCGTCTAAATTCGATCGAGTAGTTTCACAATATTTGGACGCCGAGTTAATGTGAGACATTAAAGAGGAAGAATGTATTTGTTAATGTTTGATTAGATTTCCTTGAAAAAGCTTGGACCGGATTGCCACGCGAAACGTTGGATTTATTTCAAAATTCATTCGCTGAGATTTTACAAATACATTCTTCCTCTTTAATGATATTATTTATGTTTATCGTTCACTCTGCTACTTCAGAAATGTCTATGTAAGTATAAAGTTTACAGTGGAATATAAAGGAGACAAACAATCTAATTTTTTATCCCAGTGTAAGATGAAAAAATGATGAGTCTACTGAGCAAAGCGTATATAGGAGAGAAACGGGGATGGGAAAGTACTTAAACTATGATACCATCTGTTCTGTCAGTTATAAATAGTAGTTAAACATTTATTAACATAGATAGAATGTTATGGTCATGCAAAAAAGTCAAAAGTCTTATGAAAACTGAACATCTGAAGAAATTGATTGAAAAATATGAGAAAGGGCATCTTAAAGATTATAA